ACATGATTCTGTGACGACATACATACAATGTGAGCTAGCTTTAACCTGCGCATGACTGGGCTATTTTCCATAACGCGAGTGACTGGGGGGGGGGGGGCTCTCCAGAGCCCCCCCCCCTATCTCCGAAACTACTATGCCGATCGTCAAAATTTTAACCCTCGCCGGACCTATTTGTTTTTCTACATACGAGCCGGCCGAAGGGGGGGGGGCGGGTACGACCCCCCTCGCCGTTTCGCCCCTGGTGGAGCTAGCGCGTCGCGGAAAAAAACGAGCGTGTGCGCCGTTACGAGACGCAGAGATTGATACCCGATTTTAAGGTCCTAGGTCAACTGGTGACCTCTGAGGTCAGATCAAGTGCTCCAAGGTACAGTTCCGTTTTTTGGCGAATAACATCGCAAAAAAACGGCCGCAAAGCCGCGATTTTGGCAGCATCGTGTTCGCTTCGCTCAGGCGCGTCGAATGGAATAAACTTTTTGTTTGGGTGAGGTCGACTTATGGTGTTGACCTCACGTCACGGTCAGGTCAGCGCCTCAGGTCACGAAATTGGTCGAAGTAGGTCATGTCGTATAGCATTCGATTTGGCAGGTCTTCTTGAGTCCATTGGTGGCTTTCCCGACTCGCTAGCTCAATTTGATCGGGAGTTATTGACGAAAAACTAATATGACCCTAATGACGTCATAAATGACGTAACGCAAGGTCCACATTGCAAAAGTGACGCATGTAACCTTGCAAGGAGTGCATCAAATCACGATTCTGTGTGATTGAGATAGTTGGAGATCGTTCCCAGCGCCAGAATAGCAGTTTTCATTTTCCCCATTGACTTATAATGGTGAGGTCACGAAAATGGCCTGACCTCATATGACCTTTAGGAAAAATCCAAGATATATTAGTTGGGAGACTCGTGATGCATATTAGATCCTGCAAGTTTCATTGCCCTGTGAAAGCTCCTCTGGCAGTGAGGGTGTTGCGAATTTGCGACATCTGACGATCGTGCAGAGGTTCACTTATAACGTCATAAGTCAGTGACCTGACCTGACCTGAAAATGCTGAGATCTGGCTTGAATCAAAGGCCAGATATGCTAAGTTTCAGTTCTCTATCGCCAGCGTGTTCGGAGCTATCGCGAAAAAAAAACCTATGGGGGGCGGCACCCGCCCCCCCCCCCTCGGCCGGCGAGGGTTAAAGTGCGATGTGTGTACTGCATTTCAACGCCAAAAATTTAACCGTGAAACCCAAAACGGAATACGAAATATTGCTGATTTATTAGTTTAGCCAGAGACCGGTTGCTTTATTGCTGATACTAGCGCTGGCCAAATAAACTTTTTAAGATGCAGAACTTGATTTATATTTTGGTATGTATTTAATCTGTCAGAAGACATATAAGGCAAAAATAGAGCAAGGAAACTGTTGACATTGTTTGGCAACTGTGGGAAGTCTTCTAATCAGTTTCGATCACATCCGAGCATCTGGCATGCAAACCCGATTGATAGACACAAACTTGAACATTTTTATCTAAACCTATTAGAATCCAGGTAAGCCGATTAATGCGCGCTGTTGCGGTGCTCTGTGCAGGACACCTGAGGAGGCTTTTGTCCCTGACGTTTCCATAAAGATATGAAAAGTGACTTTCGCACAACTCTCTACATTCTAGAAATGTATTGACCCTACTGCAGATAAACTTTGACCTGTTATTCGAGACAATGTCATGCTGAAATTGTGACTCAGCGCAAATCTACGCATATTACCCTTGCGTTTCCGTTTTTTTTCTACTTGAAATGTACTGACTTGTGGATTGAGGTTTGTCCATGCGTTAAGGTGGTTGGCAAGGTGACTTGAAGGTCAGGTCAAGGTTATTGAACTTTGGTGGCCTCGGATGTTTTTTCATTTTTTTCGAATTTTAGGGCAGTTATTCGAGCTGAATTCGAATTAAGCACTCATTTGAAGATTTTGAAGTACTTTTGGTGCCCATGCGACATGTTACGAAGCTGTCAGTGGTGGTTTACACCTACAATGGATAGCCGGCCGGACGCCTACCGGTTGATGTGACCTGACCTGACCCGACTTTCCCCAAATGCATGAATACATCATCTGTGATCAAAACTGACATGAAATTCTAAATCAGTGCCCCGGAAAACACCATGATAACCTCACTTTAAGAAGTACTAGAAGATCCCGGTATTCCCGACTTTTGGATCATTGGCCTGACGAAACGAATGTCCAGGGACCTTGCAATTGCGGATCATCGGCTTCCTGCCGTCCCGGGCAACACGCTCGTTTTTCCGCTCAGCCTAGCCTACATATATGTAGTGCTCGGCAGGTCCTCCGGGGTCTTGCCTTCTTTTGCTCTGCCAGGCAGGGCCAGTTTCCCACACCAGACCCCCACCCACCAGACCCCATTGTTAACATAAAAAAAATTACTGAAGTTCCACAGCTTTCCGTGACTCTATGGTATTTCTGCTTTTGAAATGTATCAAATTTGAGACGTGGCAGTTCCTCCACAAATATTCCATGCATCACATCTCTCCTACATAGGAGGAGAGCGGGTATTTTTCGTGAAAAACTCACTAAAATGCGACGGATCGCGACAGAACTGTACTCAACTGGGATGATTAATTTTGTTTTACATGTCCATCATGTCCTAAAAAGCTCATGACATTAACCCAAATAACCCCAAATTGACTTGTGAGCTCTTGAGATCATGTCAGGTTATAAAATCTCACTTCACGAAGCTAACGGGTCTCGATTTTCGCGATATTTGGTTCATTAACCTGACGAAGGCAACCTAGTGACCTAGGACCTTAAAATTATCCCTTGCACTTATGGAGGGTCGAACGGAACTCCATCGGTTTTTCGCGAATAACTTGCGTAAAAACGTCTGATCGCGACGAAACTTTCAGTAGCCGCGATGTAATCAATTTTACACCATAACCATACCCTGAAAATTTGGTGACCCTGATCCAGGTCCCGATTTTCCCGACCTCTGGGTCATTGACCTAACGTGGAAGGTCAACCAATGACCTAGGACCTTAAAATTGGGTATCATCGGCTTCCTCTCGTCACAGCAGCACGCTCGTTTTTTTCTGTGAAGCTCTAGCTCGATCAGGGGCCGAACGGCAAGAAAGGTCCAATGGACCCCCCCCCATACCTTCGCGGTTGGCAAAACGCCAATAAGGGCGGGGGTTGAAAAACACCTTTCTAAAAACATATTATTTTCTACTTTAACCCTTTCTTCATGGCAGGAAGCGATAGGATATGAGCAAAAGTTGTTCTGTTACATCGTGACGTCACTGCTGTCTGGTCTTTACCAGTTTTTGTATCCATGGGTGGAGAATGTTTGAAAAAGTTACCCCGGCCGGCGACCGATAGTCGCGGGAAGACGATATACTCACGTTGTTCTCAACGGTCATCATCAAACCCCTATTCTGACGCATGGAATAGGATGCTGTGTTTGTTCAAGGATGAGCGTTGAATCCGACACCGTATTATTCAAAACATTTTTGGAATGATCGAAAAGGCAATTTCCTTTTAAGTTATTATTTCTTTTTACTTAGACTTCCAATTTCACACCGAACCCAAACCAAACCATATGCCATTTTGAGTAGGGGAGAGTGGGGAAAGATGCCCAGGGTTTTACTATGTCATATATTATTCGAAAATGACGATGGGAAAGCAAAAACTTGGAGTTTCAACGGAAGCCGACATCATTTTTCTCCAAAAATATCACACTTTCGTGCCTGAAATATTATTACTTTTTTTGCTATTAAGCATTTTCCTGAAGAAGTGAAAGGGGGCATCTTACCCCACAGGGTGGGAAAGACGCCCCCTGACGTTGGGAAAGATGCCCCCTGCACTATAAGTGACATAAATGGGCACGTGAATCGTCTGAACGAATCAGTAGTCCTTTCGAGCCTGCAGTAGACACCAAACGTCATCATAAGGGCCCTCAAAAGTAGTCGTAAGGGGCTTCAGAGGTCATCGTTAGGGCCATCATAGTCCAGCGCGGCCAAACAAGCCTCCGTGATGGCGTTCGGAGACCACTGTGGGGCTCTTATAGGTCTTCATGATGCTTGAGGGCCCTCGAGCCCATCGTGGGGACCTCCGATGCCAGTGCGGCCCGTGGGGCCAACGTGGGAGCCCTCAAAGGATGTCGTGATGGGCCCTGGAGCCAATAATTGGGCCCACAGAGGCCGTCGTGAGGGCTCTCAGAGTCAGATGCCGCCCAAAAAGTCGCTATGTGGGCCGAGAGACCGGCATGGGGAGCACCCGACCGTACTGGACTCTCAATAGTCCCAGATCGGCTTTTGTCTACATCACAAGTATGTAATAAATGATTTGACGGGCTGTTTGAAGGACAGCCTACGGATTTAGGGGGGCGTCTTTCCCCATCAGGACAGGGGGCATCTTACCCCAAGGTACCGAAGTAACATTAAATCAGTACAATTTGTTAGCCATAAAACTACACCATGAAACAAACTGTTTGGGACACAGTACCCGCATGCTAATGTATCACGACTATAGCAAGGGACGCAAAAATTATTTACCTTCTTTGATATTTACAATGTTCTGACACCAAAATATATTTTGAAAGCAGCAAATAAAAAACATGCAGTCATCAGCCAGCCGTTGCCCAACTGAGCTTCGCAATTTTTTTGTGCCGTTAACAAGCCAGGCTTCCGCTTTACGCTAAGAACATTAAAGGGACACTCCCACCTTAACATTAGTTTTGAGTTGAGATAGCCAAATTGGTGGCCATGGCCTGCAAATACCGGTTTGGGCACTCACAACATCGAAAAATGCTTTAACCCATTAGTGCCGGAAGAAGAATTACTTGAAAAATTACGTTTTCTTCTATTAAAACGGCGTCAACTACACCTACTTAACAGACATTTCGCCTGATTGTGTTTTTATTTGTCTCAGTTCCGGAAATATGGAGCGTCTATATTTAGTACTCTCGGCATTTACAGTACACAAAAATGGACGGGTTACATCCAACGTTTATTGTTCACACAGACATGACCGATTTGATGTACTGAGATATGATGCCTCTGCGAAACAGATCAGGATTCACCATAGGGGTCTCACACGGTTGACACTGCAGTTGAGAGTTGACACAGTTGACACAGTTCAGTCAGTTGACCTTTCGCTGTGCTTTACTTTGAGTGGTATGGGCGGAAGCACTTCACGCACAACGCGACGTTGCACTTGCAGCAGGCTGTTGAAGGCCGTGACTTGCAGGCCTCGCGTTTGCAACGCCTTTGAGACTCTGCCGGGACGACGTAGTGGTGCATGCCGTCATACCGGATGTCAGGGACGGTGGACCGTGATGCTCCCGTAGGTACTGACCTTGGCGGCCCTGTTGCGCCTTCTGTGCCGGCACCGCTGACATCTCGCTGACACCGTGTCAGCAGTGTCGTGGAGATCTGCCGGCGGACGTCTAGGAGGCTGGCGTGTTCATCCTTGGTACGGTGTACGAGCCACGTGTTCTGCACTGCTGCATCCAGCATCCATGAAAATATGGCCCACCACCACTTCTTGATCCTGATGTTTGTGCGATACGCATTGATGCTCTGGTCCATGATGTCCGTTCCGCCCATCTTCTTGTTGTACTCAGATACACAATGCGGCTGAGGCACCTGCACCATCTTCTTCTCCTTCGAGGACCACCTCTTGACTGTCTGAAGAGGTCCAGAGCCCGCCATGTTTGAGGCCACCGTTACAACAGAGTTGTCCTTCCATCGCACGACTGAAATGCCATTGCTAGTGTCTCCACAGACCGAGACTGATCCTCTGACCAGCGCCTTCATCGACTTCACTGCAGCTGCTGGACATGACTTCGGCAGTCGGTTGTCTCTGATCGTGCCAGTAGCACCATATCCGCACAGGGTGAGATGCTTGATGAGAGGAAGGCTAGTGAAGTAGTTGTCGAAATACAGCTTCAGTGGTATCTTGCGGATGTGGAGTGGCAGCCTGTCAAGCGCATCTGCCAGGGCGGCGCCTCCCTTGCCGAAACGTTCTTCGTACTCGGCTCTACCACGGTACGTAGCTCCCTGATACACATCGAAGGCGATCAGATAGCCCTTTGCGCTGTTCAAACACCACGCCTTGAAGCCGAACCTGATGGGCTTTCCCCGGATGAACTGCTTGCACCCGTGTCTTCCGAAGTAGGCGATCATGCTTTCATCGAATGACAGCTCTTGCTCCACAGGGAATGCAGCCATGAACCTTCCCTCAAGATGGTCCATGATGGGACGTAGCTTAGCAAGCTTGTCCGATTTGTCCAGTCGCTGATTGTCTGCGAAGTGTAGAAACCTGAGGATTTCGTCAAACCGATCTCGACTCATAGCAGACGCGACCAGTTCCACGCCGATGTCACGTTCTCGCTTCCAGTACATGCGCCGCGCGGGTACAGTGTGATAGCCTGACAGAAGCATAATTCCGATGGCAGTTTTTAGTTCGTCCCTGCTGACAGCGAAACGTTCCCCTTTGCTTCCAGCATATCGGCGGCTTTCGTAAGCGATGTGATCTAGCAGGTCGTCATTGAAAAAATACTCAAATATCTCGGTAGGAGAACGTTGAGACAGGTCAACACTGCTCGGGGGATTTTCTTCTGATCGCAAATGCTGCCCGACCTTGATGTCCCTTTTGACCCACTTATACTCCAGCGATTCCTTCTGAGACTTGGCTCGTTTTTTACATGGCACACCTTGATCTTGATCAGCCTGCGTTGTATCTGCACCTGACCTGTTTTCACCTGCTGACCACCCGCTGTTCCCAGGACCGACTTCCAGTTCTGTAGCTGTACGTTCCTGAGACAGGGTGTCGCCGTTCGCCAAGACTACCTCCGCTGTAGCTCGTAGTTGGTTTCGATTTAGGTTGTCGAGATATCCACCGTCATCGTCATCAGCGGAATCCCCATCGGAGTCCTCTCTGACATCGGGAGGACAAATGAAGACAGCACTGACGTCTTTCTCCTCTTCCTCGAGCTTGTCAAGCGTTTCTTGAATACTCAGTCTGAGAAAAAAGCGTAAAAACGTTATTGGCTGCTAACTGAAACTTCACCGTTTTTTGTATACCGTTAGTGCCGAAAGTACTATATATAGACTCTTTCAATAAAACGTCTATAACTGCAACACAAAATTCAGGAAATGTTTCATCTTTGGATAGCAGGTAAGAAAATAAGCAGGCAACACATCAATGAAGTATCGATCGTTTCAAAATCCACTGTAATATATTTTTACACTTACCCTTTTCCCGACGCCATGATGGCACGATCACCTCTGCCGCACCTCTTCACCCTGCCACGATTCAGGCGAGACTGGCTGCAGGCAGCCTTGTCTCACTCCCGCTTGACGCACGAAAACGTTTTGAATCGGAGCAAACGTTTAGAAACGTTTCTTTACTACCACCGAAGTCCGCGTCTATATATAGTTGATCGGCATTAATGGGTTAATTCGAAGATATGGAATTTCAAACTTGCAGTTTTCGGATTCTAAGGGGCTAATGCATTTGAATGCCCCCTTAGAATTTGTGACGTCAGCGGAGATCTAACGATTTTTAAATCTTAGACTAAAACCATCGTTAACACGTGGTGGTATACGCTGCTTTGCGCGCAACGTCTGCCGCACTTTAAGGCTGCCAAATTATTGCTTCCAAATAAAGTCGCTAGTAACAGGGGAGATCCCAAAAAGTAAACAAAAGTAAAAGCCTAATATCTTGAAAACCAGTGAATATTTTTCGGTGAAATTTGGTAGATATTCGTTTTCGCTCTTTCTGAACCAAGGGACATCACTTTTATGCCAATTCATTAACTTTTTTGAAGGTGGGAGGGTCCCTTTAATTTCCAGGTCCGATTCTTTGTTTCGTCGCTAGAGGGGGTGGGGCGTCTTTCCCACCCTGGGCATCTTACCCCACTCTCCCCTACCTAAATGTTGCGTTTTCAGCTTTTTATTGTGTCTCAAAATAGCTACAAAAAGACAACTCACCATAGTAGAAGCTTTACAGAGAAATTGACAGATCGAACCATAGCAAAGCACTACAATAGGTCACTGACATCCACGGGCGTAGCCTTTTTCAATGTTGGACGGCTCTTATAATACAAACATGGAGTCGATCCAGGAATATCGACCGGTCCCGGTCTCGTAGCTCAGTTGCTAGAGCGTTGGATTCCGCGTGGCGAGAGCACGCGGCCCGGTTACAACAGTCCGAGTTCGAAGCATGATGGCCGCTCGGTGTTTATGAGCACCCTGACGGGTGCGCTCATAAACGGGTGTGGTTGCGGTTGGTGGCAGGTCAGTCGAAGGCCATGAGGTTAAGCAGTGGTTTTAAAAAAGTGCGCCGAAGGCGCGACAAAATTTCGAAACTGAACAGGATGTGAGAGCAATCTTGGCATTGGCGACCACACGCGGGTCTTAGGGTTGGAGATTATGGCAAGTTAAGTAAATGGTAAATACCTACCTGATTTGCAATATTACGCCCATGGAAGTCAACATTCGAAGAGCGTGAGTTTTCTTTTCTCGTATGGAGACAGCTTTTAGGATTTACAAGAGTAGAAAAGTTACCCCGGCCGCGCCGGGGTAGGCTGAAAGTTACCCCGGCCACGGCCGGGGTGGCCGGGGCAGGTTCTCCACCCATGTTTGTATCCGTCTCCGGTTCTCCTAAAAGTTGGTCATAACATCCGCTGTTAATTTCCCAGAAACGCACTTCGGATCCGGCCTCTTAGGAAAACCCGTTCAAAAGATAAAATCTGCGCACACAGGGGGCGGGCCAAGTCTCCTCTCCTACCGGGGGATTTGAATGGCCACCCGACTACATCTTTAAATTGATGATGGTCAAAGTTACGTAAACATGCTTGCCCGTAAAAATTCTAAGTAAGGCGCACATTCTTCTGACCTATACAGAAACACAGATACTGTGATCAGTGACGGACTTAGTCTCTATGACAGCCGTGCTCCGTTGCAAACTGCGCACGGATAAGTTTTTCGCGTTTCTGGTTATTATATAACTTAACGAAGAAGTGATAGCTGGTTGGGCTTTGCTACATGCGCTGCTGCATTTTACCAGGACTGGAAATTACGTAACGCACATGTTTCCGGCCGCTCACGGCACCGTACTTGTCCCGGAGTTATCCCCCTCGCCCCCTCCCCGCCCGTTGTGCACAAGTGACAGGCACCTGGCTGACGGCTGCACAGCGAACAGTGCACTGCACAAAGCGAACGGCTCGCCGTCCACTTCAACTCACCAGTTCTTGGCGCCGCGCAGACGATCAAGTCTGGTTTTGAGGAAAAAGTGCAGCGACGCGGGCTATGCTGGGAAGTGGTAGGTAGTATCAGAGGTCAACGTTCGGTTTAGGATATCGTTTTCCTTTCATTACATACAGTTCTCTGTCCTTGGGGCGAGTGCGTGTTTAATGACTGAGGTTACCCTTGTTTCGCGAACTTAGGAACCAGTATTCCGAAAATGTGCGCAAGACCGGGAATGTATGAACGAATGTAGCATATTAAATCAGTGACTGTGAGAATATCGTTGTTGAAAAATAAAACATCGTAGGTCATTAAACTTAAATATGATGATGAAATAACATTCTTACAGAAAGTAAAATGTGCATGCCTGTGACAGTGTTAAACGTAGAAAAAGTGAAATGATGTAATTCGGCTTTTACTTCACGGGTCTTTATGAGAAGTTTTGCAGGCTTTAGGCTTCTGCTCATATTCTGCGTTAAGCCTTCTTGTAAATGTCTTGCTGGTGCCGTTGTGGTGACAGCCACCCGAATAAATCCAGCTGGATTGCACCTCGCGCTTCTTATCTTAGCAGTTTTGATCATATGAACGATGCGCTCTACTGTTTAAATTGACTCATTACCTTGTGTGTGCGTGCATAAATATTGTGGAGTAGACACACCACGCCCTGAGCTTATTGCAGTGCATAACTGCTCAGCTACCGCAGCTCTCACTGACACACGGGACCGAATGAACAGCGAGAGCTGTTGGCTGCGGTGGGGATTTTCCGGATTGTGTAATACTAAAAACTACCATTAGCGCTCACCTTTGCCGTTCCGGGTGTCAGAAGATGGTTTACTTACGGATTGAACTTCCCTTCTAACCTGCTTTCGCGTTTTGGCGTATCACGGTCTCGACTTCTATCTCGTCCCTTTGTCGGTTCTTGCTTCCTTTCCGTATCTGCTACATGCTGAAAGACCGACCCGAAGGGCAGATAGAAGGAGACTGGAAGGACGTAGGACAGGTGGTATTGGGCAGTGGGTGGGTGGGAAATTGCTCTGGCGTGCCGTTGTCGGGCGGATGTTCAAACAACAGGCTGTTGCGGCGTTGCCGTTCCGCGAAATAACAAAGCGCATAATAATTAGTTAATATTGATTTCGTGGTGGTAGGGCAGTGTACAAGACTGGCTAAATATTCGATAAGTATTAAATAATAAAGCAATTTTCCCATAGAACTTGTTTTCAGGCTGCGCTCCCTAGATATATAATAAACTCTGGCCGCTCGACGCGCCATCTATGCTCCCGTGTACGGACACACTCCGCGCGGGGCCAGTAGGCACCCGCCCGTCGGTGTGCGTGGGCCGGCCGGTAGACACCCGTCCGTCCGGCGCTAATGTTCCGTGCTGCATCGCGTTGCACAGCACGGTGCCATTAGCGCTCACCTTTGCCGTTCCGGGTGTCAGAAGATGGTTTACTTACGGATTGAACTTCCCTTCTAACCTGCTTTCGCGTTTTGGCGTATCACGGTCTCGACTTCTATCTCGTCCCTTTGTCGGTTCTTGCTTCCTGTGGCCGATCGCGACCGGCCGGTGAGCCGCACCGGTCAGTCGGTGCCGGGACCTAATACAGGCTGTGTCGAAGGACAAGTTTCGCAGTACCTTACACACTGCCAGCGGACAGATGAATTCAGTGGGAGTGCGACGGTCACCGGACCGGTGAGAGGCAGATAGGCGCGAGTTCCGGTGTAGGTGTGACGATCAGTGGACATGCCCTTGGCGGCATGCCGGCATGCAGCATGCAGTCATTCTTGCACCCACAGAGTGGCATACGGCCAGCAGTGACCTGACTCCAGCCCAGATGGCCCGCTGCAGACCCGGTGCAAGACGACCCCCGATCAGCTGGGGACCTGCGGTCCGGGCGCCGGGCCAAAGGCCGCTACGTCACGGTCACGGTCAGCTGACGTCACGGCTAGTGAGTCACCCGGGCCGCCTCACGGCGCAGTTGACGGTTACGTAATGACACGCCCGCGCCTGCGCCACGGACGGCCACGTGGCTACCAGCAGTTGCTGTCGCGGCCGCCGCGGCGCCACCAGCGCTGGAGGTGTCCACACCTACCGCTGACGTCACGATCACGCGATCGCTGGGCAACCGGCCCGACCGGCGATCACCAGCTAATACCAGACTCCGCTGGTACGGACGGTAACTGTTCCGCAGCCG